AGGTGGAGCCGAACCATATTTGATTGTATTTGTCGTTTTAACATGAGCAGCACTCATGACATCCCATTCATCATCATATTCGCCAATTTGTGCCCAATCAATATTTCTATAGTTGGGATCATCGGAAAATGAATGAGCCAAACCATAAGCATGACCCATTTCGTGGGCTATTAATGTTAAATCGTGATCTTCAGCGGTATAAACTTGTTTATTTCTACCCCATAAGTCAATGCCTGGATTTGTAATAACGATGATACGTTGCGATGCTCGAATCAATAGTTTGGAAGCTTTGACACAATCATCGAATCGTTGGTTTCTCGATTTTTTCAGTTGTTGTTCTTTTGTTTCACTTATTGTATACCAACCATTAACACTTGATGAATTAAAATTAATAAGACCATTTGATATATCATGCCAATAATCAGCAAGACCTCCAGTGCCACGATCTAAAAATTTTTCTTTAATCTCTGTTGGTGTATATTTCGGTGTTGAACTGTCAGAAAATTTACATAGAATAATTTGCCATATCGTTTGTCCTCGAACACCATATCCATCGATATCATGAATAGAATAGCCGACAATAAGTAGGAGAATAAATATATTCATCATGTTATAATAAATTTCTACAATAACAAAAAAAACCATCATTGATATAGAGAGAAGAGAAGTGTAAAACTAAATCTTTATGGTTATTTTCAAAATTATACTAAGTTATTAAATGTAAGCATCTATGTTTTAGATCTATTTTCCAGTATAAAAATTAAAAAAATTACGAATTAGAACCATTGATATTGAAGATTATTATACTTGATAGTATACAGACTATGAATGCTGAATTAGTCAGTACAAAAAAGGAACAAATCACTAGTATGATGTATGTCATTCGTTGTAACCGGTAACGGTAAATGTTCGATCCGAATTTTTTTGAGTTTTTGCATGAGTTTTTTATTTTTCAAAAAATTTGATTATAAAAGTGCCTTTTTTTCGAACATCAAACAATTTTTTTATCCACTACTACTTTTGAATTGTTCGAAGTATCATGATAGGAAAGTAATGTTGCATGAGGTTAATTGCATTACTTATGGAAAGAAAAGTCCACTCTATAGTGATGACTAGAAAAGATGTTCTAAAGAAACTGTAGTATCAAAAGTACATATATTTTCTCGTTGTATTCGTGCAAATTCTTATATGCTTACGACTAAAATAACAGTATAATATATCGACATTGTGTTGCCTATATGTACGTTTGACTTTTATACAATCATTTGTATGCATGACTAACTGAGCATGATATGTCAGTAAGATATTTTTCTTTTGTGTCGTAAAAATAGTACTGTCATTTTGCCGTTTCCGTACTGCGTCATTCAAAAAGCTTAATCAATGACGATAATGAGTCAATTCATTGTTTGAGAGAATATACATGATGTCATGGATTCAATTCTTGTTTCTAACTAGTTGTACAGAACACAAAAATTAGTCAGGTTTCATTTGCGATAGGCTATTGCTGAATAGCTTAATCATGGTCGAACCCAACCTTAAACATGATTTTAAACATGAGTAAGACCACTCCATGAAAAATATTCATAGAAAAAACGGAAGAGAAAACGTTTGTCAGTTTATAGAAAGGTATCTTGTCAATGAATAACACGTTCTGTAATTTATCGAATACATTCATAATCAGCAAGAATACGTTGTCTGTCTGAAGAAATGTTTTCTTTTCCATGCCTCGCTATTATGAAATGTTTTCTTTTCTGTCAAAAATCGTTCCTTGCCTGAGTAGAAAACGTTCTGAATCGTTCCATTAAAAGTATCCGGCTATATCAAGAAACAATATCAATTAGTTCAGATTACATTCTTCAATTTTCTAAAATACATGAATTTTTTCTTCATTGTTTCTTGATTGAAAAATATCTTCATGGCTTGTAATCGTCTTTTATCATCATCTATTTACAAGTTGGAGAATTTTTTTTGACGATATCGAGAAGTTTCTGTTTTCCGTACGCTGTCAAAAACAACAAAAGTAAAGCATAAATGGTGCTTGTATATTGAGATCAATATTATTACTATAATGAACGTTGTAATAATTTACAACAGATAGAGAATGAAATAAAAGAAATTAACATGAACAGATACCGAGCTGTATGATCATAAATCATATGATCGATATAACTAAAGATAGCGGTCATAACCATGAATATTAAGAAAGTTTCAAACTTGATTTTTGATTGCAAAATCCATTTTTTTTAAAGAATAAATGTCAAATTCGTAATTAGCATGAAAAATTATATCTAATAATCCATTTAGATCAGTCCAAATCGGAAAAGAAAAATTTTCAAAATCTTGATCAGCGAAGTGTCACGCTACGGGGACAAGGCGAGTGGTAGTCCAAGGTATAACATATTATCAATTTCTGGGCTCAATAGTTTCTTTCAAAAGTACACCGATGTATCCTGTATGCTCTTTTGTCGAATTTTACGTTCGATTTTTTTTTCTGATTGAATCGATTTGCAGAAAAAATCGGATTGTATTATTCTTTTCTTGAATTCCTTTAAGATAAAACAGTACAAAAAATAATACAAAGATGGTTTATTCTGCAAATCGATACATTCAGACGGAAAGTGATAACCGAATTCGGCAAAGGAAGCAATAATCTGTGTTGTCGTCACATAGAAATATACGGCATATACTGATCTGTGATTGAAACAAACTATTGAGCTCAAAGACTAATAATACGCTACGCCTTTGACTACCGTTACCTAGTATATATGATTTAAATAACGGATTTTAGTATTCATTTATAGAGATGAAATCAAAAAAACAAAAAAACTTTGTGTTTTCTTATGTTTAGTTCGCCCTGTATAAAATCATCGATCTCGATGTGTATTTCCATGCGATATATGATATCAGTTTTCTTATCTTGTATAGTTATACAATTGGTTAAATTTTGGTAACGATGACTCTCATAGTTACTTCATAATGTTAACCATCGATTCTTATAAATACTTCTATCGCTTGTTGTGTTGAAAACATAATTATAATTAATAGATAAACACTGGATCGAAGATTTGATACAGAAATATTCTATTTTACTGTTCCTTATTGTTTTTGTTGCAAGATTTGTTTTTTGATAATGAATTCACATCATTCGATGCCCTTGATGCATCCATCTCTGATCGATTAAATTAGGAGAACGTCGAATAGTTCGATGTTTCAAGTACTCGAACGTTTTGTAAAATTTGAAAAACTTTTTATTTCCTGTATTTGATTTTCTTCGAGCTCTCGAGTCGATCCCCCTTCCACTTTTTGCTCAATACATGTAATATGATCTGAAAAATTTATAATAGACAAAAAAACTCTTCCAGTTAAAATTACAAGAAAATGAATTCCTACTGTTCCTTTTAACTCCAATACCCACACTTTACCTCACCATTCATTTGCATTCTCTCTCTCTCAGTACTCCAATGAATGCAAACACAATTATCTCAGACATTACATTAATAAACTATCTCGTCTACATCGAAATCACATGAATTTTCCCTATAAAAGAGTAAGACCAACCACTGAGAACAAACTCCGCCAGATTTTAATCTACAAATTAATCATTTTCTAATATTGATGCTCTCCTTATAAGCACTCGATAAAAACTACTGATTGTTGACATTTCAACATCATCACTACATTACTATTACTTGGTATCAAAGATGAATTTTTTTGTTATTATTATTATTATTAATTTCATAGTGTTATTTTTTAGATCTCACTCTAATTATACATTTAATTCTTATTGTCTATTTAGATTATGATGTTATTTCTTTTGGTTTCATGATTTTTCTCATCTTCTATTTTGTTTATACCATCAATATAAAGGTTGAAAATGATCGTTTGAAGACCGAAAATTTTCTTTCTTTCTTTTTCTTAAAATAAACAACAACTTCTACATTTATATTTCTCTTACTATATGATCAGTAAAAGATAACAGGATTCATCAAGTCTTCTAAAAATGTGAAAAGAAAGAGCAAATAAAACTGAACGATTGATAAGGCTCCAGTACTCATTGAATAGCTACTTGCACAAATAGAAACGTATGACGACGATACACACGCTCTTACAGTTGACAAGGCCTCGCACGAAAGTAATTCTTTGCCTTGCAGAAGATTGATCAAAATTAAAAATGAAACAAACGAATAAATAAAGAGTTTAAAAGCTCAACAAAATAATCTCTTTAAATACAGCAAGACGAACGATATGATAGATTTGCTAGACTAATGGATTCAAGTATCGGAGTTTTTTTATTATCCAAAATTACTGATATAAATCTATACTTTTGTTTTGTGGTCACATACAGCTGTTCGCACAAAAAAAAATGATTAGTTTTTTTTTTGTCAGAAACATCTTTATTTGATTCAATTAGGTTGACATTTCCCTAGACTCTTTATTTTTATTTACATAATTTTCAAACTTATATTTCATAAGCATCCAATTTGGGCTTATTCTTCTATATAGTTATAATGTTTGTTTTTTTTTTGTAGTGAAAATTCTTGACAATGTTCATCATTGAAGTATTAATTCGACAGTGACAATTCTTCAACATGTTGTTTTTTTTTTATCTATATTGAATGTAAAAATAATCAAATAGATTTATTTAGTATTGAGAAAGAAAAAGAACATACTAGTCGATGAATCTAAATAAAGAAGCGAGATACAAATGAATAGCTTGTCGATTATCAAAACAAAAACAAAACAAAAAAAAAGAAACAATTACATGATTACAATACGCAATATAATCATGAACACAAATGGTCAATAATATTCGATAGGTGCCTTGAAATTTATTTTTTTTCTAATAAATTTATTATATTATTCTCGATCGGTCTATTAAATTCCCAATAGAATGTAGATTGACATTTTCAAGAAAAGAAAAAAAATATAGATAATAAAAGAGAGAAGGAAAAGAGAATAGCTTATTTTCCAAATACAATCCTAAAATCTTATATTTTGTAATGAGTGAATCAAATATAACATTTTCTGATCAAACACATCGAATTTTTATTTTATCATCTAAACCAATGAATGATCATACTGCTTTATATATTATATTATTATTAGTTATTCTTCTATTTATTCTTTTATTTTATTTAATATATAATTTTATTTCATTTAAACGTTATACGATTTCTCGAAAAACTCAAATGAATTCATATTTATATTCAACAAAACAATTAAATGATCATTTATCAATTATTCTTGCTCAAACAACTAAACCTAAAATTGAAAGACGTACACAATCATGTGGAGAATTAAAACTTCCATTACATCGAGTACCATTACGAACAAGAACTTCATTATCGATGTATCAAAATTTTAGACAAACAAAAAATTTTATTCCCAATCAATATGAAACTACTAATGAACTTATTTCTGATCTTTGAATTTCTCTTTTTTTTTTTTTTTTTTTTTTTTTTTTTTTTTTTTTTTTTTGTCAAAAGATAAAACATAAATTCTATAGTATTGCTTCTTGTGTAGTATTCATTCGTGATAAAATTGATTTTGTTGAACGATTATCATTTGGTACAACTTTATCAAGTTTTTCATCGATAATTTTTAATAATTTTAAAATATTTCCCATAGTTTCTCCCATTATATTTATTGTACTTTCAACACGTTGCATTCGCGCAAGAACAGTTAATTTAGTACGATCTTCAGTTGCTACGGGTGCTTGTTTACCAATTGTATGTTCAATTCTAAATCAATAAAAAGAAAATTTCTATAGATGATAATAGAAAAATAATATGTAGATTTATTTTTTTACTTTCGTTGTAATTCTTTTATTCTCATCATCATATTTATATGTCCATGAGAATATTGTTCAAGTACATCACGTACATCATATGGTTTTCTTGCTTGCTAGAAGAGTTTTTAAAAAAAAGAATTATTTAAAAAAATATAAAATAAATTTTATTTACTTGAAATCGATTACGAGCAACAATTAATTGCATTTTACGTATACATCGTATCATTCGTTTATGATCTTCAGTTAAACTAATATAAAAACAAAAAAAAAAGAATTTAAATATTATCAATTCTTTATTCACGAGATGATTGAGATATTCTTTTGAATAACTTAGATAGAAATTTTTTTTGAAAGAGGAGATACAGAGAGCTTGAAGTGTATATTACAAGTTTCTTTTTTTTGACCCAGTATTTTGAAGATTTTTCAATCGATGTCTTCGAAAACACAGATGTTTACAATGAATTTTCAATTATTAAGTATACATTCGAATTAGAGGTCTTCTACTCGAAATCCTTCGAATGAAAAATCACTTTTGAATCAAGACTATGTGTATTATGTAGATCCAAATGAGCTATAAATACCCTGACAAGAGTTCATCCCTTAGCTTATTGCTACCCAAATACTGCAATGTTACAGTAGATTTCAAATGAATGCCATGGTCGTTCTCAGGAAACATCGAAAAAACTGATTTTCGAATTTCGACTTAAAATTTTGCATAGAGACCGACCTTAACGAGAATAGTTTATTGATTTACTCTTCTCATGAAATACAAGCATCAAATCTGCCCGATGTAAAACACACGCTATTACCATAGAAACAGTGACAAGGTTTGAAGCATTCGCAACATTAAGGACTGTGTCTATGCAAAGTCTCAAGTCGAAATTCGAAAATCAATTTTTCTGGCATTCGTGAGAGATAGAGCTCGGATTGATGAACGTTCAGCACCGACATTTTAAGCGCCCAAAAAAACATGAAATTAAAAAAAGGTGTGAGCGGGTGTAGGTATTGATCTTTTCTTCAATCATACCTACATCTGAGGGGAAACTAGCAGAGACTTCTGCCTCATGAAGTTCCGTGAAGTCTTTTGACGATTTTGTAACTCCGAAAGTTTTCAAACTGCAGCTTGGACTCACGAGGGAAGATCACCAACTGTTCAATGGCTTTTGAGTCAAAACTATGTGCATCATGTAGGTCCTAGTGAGTTATGAATACCTTGAAAAGAGTTCGGGCCGCTAGCTTATTATTGTCGAGATACCGCATTTTTGTGGTATTTTAAATTAAGCACAATGCCGTGGTCTCCCTCAGAAACCAGAAAAACTGAATTTTGAGTTCTGACTTGAAACTTTGCACAGAAACAGGTCTCAATAACAGTAGTTTATTTTGAAAGTTTCAGGTCTTTTGGTTGTTCCTATCCTAAGATACGGCTAAAAAGGGTGTTTTTACGCTGCTCGTATGTCCCAGACAGGTTCCGATGTTCTTGTTTCAGAATAAGAACAACCAAAAGATCTGTTTATGTGCCAAGTTTCAAATCAAAATTCAAAACTCGGTTTTGCTGGTGCTTCTGAGGGATCATGGCATTCTACTCAACAATATCGTAAAAATGCAGTATCTCGACAGTGATAAGCTATCGGCCAGAACTCTCTTCAGGATATTCATAGCTCATTAGGACCTACATGGTATACATAGTTCCGACTCAAAAGCGATTGGTGACCTTCCATCGTCAGGCGCCGAAAAAAAACGTTTTTAGACTCCGAATCCAAGAATTTGTTTGCATAATTTAGCGATGAGTTTTCAGAAATTACAGAAGCAATGAGCAACAAAGTTTTGGCAAAAATTCTGCTTTCGAGACCCTACCTCCAAAAAATTCTGGTTTTGTAATTCCGCTGGAGTCAGGTTTTGGAGTTTCGTGCAGTTCACTAACGCCGACCCCAGACTCACACCCTATTTAATTTCAGTATTTTTCGTGCTTAAATTGTCAGTGTTCATCGTTTTGGTTCCCGTAGAGCTCGTCGAGTTGGTTCCGAATTCGATAGGCTCTAGCGAGGAGCATTGCGACATTCATTTAAAAAATATGGTAAAAGTGCAGTATCTCTCTGCTGCAATAACCTAAGGGCATGAACTTTTCCCAGGGTATTCATAACTTATTTAAGTAGACAAATGATTTCTTATTTGAAAGAATTCGATATTATTTTATCAAAAGAACGATTGACAACTACTTACGACCAAAGTTTAATTGGTTCTTCTTCGAAATCTTCATCATCATGATCATTACTAGACATTAAATAAATAAAATTCAATAAAAAAAAAAAAGAAAATTTCTTATTACTTTTCTGAAACTGTTACATTTGATGCTGATGATGCTGAACCTCGTGCATCAATGAAAACAGATGAATGTAAAAGATTAGGCGATGATGGACCTTGACTAGTTCTTTTCGGACGACTTCTTCGATGTACACTTGATAAACGTAAATGTCGAAGTTTTCCTGCTGTTCTTTCTATGAACAATAATAACAAAAAAAAACAAAATTTTTTTTTTTTTCTTTGAATAAATATTATTGAAAAATTTCATACCACTAAATGTTTGATGATTTCCTGAAAATGATTTATTTCCTGTTGGTGTTGAACATGTATCAGTAGCATGTAAATAAATATTCCATGTTGCAATACATGATGAACCAGGTGAACTTGCATAAACACGCCATGCAGCTTGAATTAATGTTGCTGCAGCTGGAATTTGTCGAGAGAAATGTTTTTGACGTTGTTTTTGTTGAACTTTTAAAGCAAAACCAGAACCAAGTATACCCTAAAAAATAAAACAAGTAATGATAGAAATAATTAATTTTAATTTTCTATTGAAATACTTACAGCTGGTAAAGCAAAAAATGATATCGCAAAAATAGCAAAACAAGAAGCAATTATTTTTCCAACCCTTAAATATTCATTAGCAATAGATAATAAAGAAAAAAAAAAAAAGTAAAGTTTAAGTATTATTTAGAGTGCTAACAATTCAAAAATTGAGTAAAATTATTTTTGACGTCTTTTCTTTTGTCATAATTTAATAGAGTTCCTCGAGTTACCTAGAAAAATGTTGTTTTTGACATATTCAAATTATGTTTTAAAAAAATTACATTAAAAATAAAATATATAATCCTTTAAAAATCAATAATTTTCATTGTTGCTTTCTTAATATTTAAAAATAATTCTTTTTCTTAGGTCTAGATTATGATTTTCCATTGTGTTGAACTTGTGTAAATACCAACATGAGAAATTTTACATTATTGAGCTCTATACATCTTATCGGAACATCAACAAGTGATTGTCAACTTGTAAGAATGTTCCTCGAATTGCCTATTTTCCTATCGGAAGAGACCAGTATATTAATGATCCTATTAAAAATGTTTATATAATAATAAGTAGCATAATATACCTAATGAACTGATATAAGGAACTCGTTTATAAATAGAAAGAAAATTTTTTCAACCTTCAAATATCTAAAGGGAAGTAAGGATGAAGGATTGCAGGAAGGAGGTCTTGTTATTTTAATTACTTTTTTCTTTTTCAAATTTTGATTTCTGCATGAAACTTCAGAAAAATCTAAAAATATCACATGTTTATTCTAAAAATAATCTTTTTCTTATCCTTGAGAAATCTAGAGGCTAAAAAACTTTTTTTTTTCTATTTATAAATGAATTATTTGTATAAATTCATCAAGGATGGTGTGATGATTATTGATGCATAAAAATTTTTAATAAGATCATTCAGAATTGTTAAGATAGCGTAAATATATAAACTTCTTCATATAGTAAACTAGACTATTCGAAGGAATAATCTTACAAGTTAACAATGAGTTGCTACTGTTATTCCAAAAAAATATATAGAGCTCAATAGTGTACAATTTCTCTCGTTAGTATTCACTTGTTCTGTGACACATAGTTGAATACAATGGAAAATCATATCATAGACCTTTTAAATATCATAAAAGCAACGATGAAAACTATTGATTATAGAAAAATTGAAGAGTATGTGTAATTGTATCGAAAAACAAAATTTACATAAGTTTATCTGAGGGACTATAATGTTTATGAATAGTATGTATATTTCTTAAGTGTTATAATCAGTATATGAACTCTCCATACATTAAAATTTGAGGAAAATTTGATTTTGAGATTTTTCCATTTCCTCGATGTTATTTTCGACTACTTAAACCTATGCTTTCCCCGAAGTCCAAATGAGTTGTGAGTATTAAAGTATACTATTCGATGTAAATTTTTCTGTTGATTCTGAATATGATATTCATTTCTTTTGGAACTAAAGTTCTAATAATTAAAATCTTAGAAATCAAATCTGTATTGATGACCTTCTTTTTGCTATCATATTAAAAAAAAAATCGATTTTCTCAACAATCAAATAATATTTTTTTTTCTTAATTATATAACGATTAAGATGAAAAACAAACCATTCGGTTACCTAGACTTGATGCTTTTGACATATTTCAGTTTTTATAGGCTTTTCTATTTTATTTTTAACCTGTTTTTTTTAAGTTTCAAAAAAAAAAACATCATCGCTTGAATATATTATAAACAATATTTTTCTAGTAAACTCGACACGTTCTATTCAACTAGGAGAAAAAAAACAAAAGGGCAAAATAATTTTCTTTTTGCTCAATTTTCAAATTTCCGGCATCTTACTTACCAAGTCACGGGATAAACATCACCATAACTAAATATAAAAAATCAAAAATAATATTAATTAATTAATTGAATAATTTTTTATTACCCAATTGTAGTTATTGTTATAATACCCCACCTATAATAAAGAAAACTATTTAACATATATATTTAATTTTCTCAATATAAAACATACCATAATGCATCAGCATAAGTTTCAAAATGACTATCATTACCTTTTATACTTCGTAATTCATCAGTTTTTTCATCTTTTTCTGCAATATAAACAAGATAACTACAAAAAATTAATGCAAGAAATCCAATATATAATGTTGTAATCAATTCCTTAAAAAAAAAACAAAAAGAAGTTTTAATTCTATAAACAAAAATAAAAACAAAAACAAAAAAAAGATGATCTTTTTTACTTGTCGATGAATATATACAACACTGCCTAATAAACGCCATGTTCCACCATGTCGATCAACATGTAAAACACGTAGAATTTGTAAAAATCGTACACCACGTATAGCTGATGCAGCAAAAGCTTGTCGATCAGCAGCTAAAATAATCATTAATGCTGATGCAATAACAACTAATAAATCTATTTTAAATAATAAATAATTCATTGAATTATATTATCTAATTATTTGTTGTCTCTTTCTTTTACCGACAACAGCAATTGGTTTTCGTGCAAATCGAAATCGACCTGATATACCCATATATTTACTTCGACATCCTGCTGACCATAATCTTAATAGATATTCAACACCAAAAAAAAGAACAAGAAGTATTTCAATCCAATAAACATATATTGATAAACGTCTAGAAAATCTTTCTATAGTTGTTAAAACAGATAGAACAAAACCAACAAGCACCACAAGAAATCTAAATTATAAAATATAATTTAATTAATTTTTAATCATTTGACAAAAGTAAAACAAATAGAAGAATACCTATGAGACTAAATCTCATCGATAGAAAAATCTTTTGAAATTGAATATATCAAAACTCATCATTGATTTCCCTAATGAATGATCAATTGAATTTCTTCAAATTCGAATTTATTTTTGGATCTAATCAACTGAAGAATTCAGTAAATTGATTTAAAAAAAAAACATAAAACTACGTTCATGTGAATCTAATGAATTCTATATATTGATACTCTATCAATCATCTCTTAAGTTTATTAAAGAATAAAAGTATCTTTATACTTACACAGAAAAATGATAAGTAAAACATTTGAGACCAGCTGGTCGTTCAAGAAAATTATATAATGATATTTGAACATTCGAATGAACTGTACGTGTATTATTTTTTGGTAAATATGGCATTGGTATATATGCTAAAGAATAATAAGTAGGAAATGTTGAATGACTTAAACGTGCTTTTCCTCGTGTTGAACGATATAAAAATGAAAGACCAACATCACGATCAGGTTTCAATGATCGAGATCCATCATTAATTATTTCTCGTGATAAACGATGATGAGGAAAATGCATTGAAAAAAAAACAAAGGAAAATCCTAATAGAAAAGCAAAAAAAAAAAAAGAAAGAAAGAAAGAAAGAAAGAAAAAAAGAAATTATTCTACTTGTTTTTTCTTTCTTACGTTGTTTTTTTTTTTAATCACAGATAACGATGGTAACAATAATAATAATAATAATAAAATTGTAACATACAAGAAAGAAAACAAAAAACAATAGTTAATTTTGAGTTGAAACAACAATCGATTGTATTGACCAATATTTTATAAATATCTAAAATAATACTTTGTAGAATTAATTTTAATGTAAAATAGAATATCTAATTTTTTTTTTCATAGAATTAATACGCAAAAGATATCAACTACATACACATCAAAAAAATTATTCCATTGTATGTTTTTGACGGTTAGTGTCAGATAATAATATTCTCTTCTTTCTTTTCTAATTGATGAGATAAAGAAATTTCTCATTTATTTTCTTATAAAGAGAAGATTCATATTCTTTTCTTTTTTTAATTCAAACTTCAATTTCTTTACTTCTTTCTTTTAACAATGCACAATACTATGAATCTGTTTGTCATTTTTTGCACATATATATATATATATTCATTGTGACTTAGATCATAAATATGGTCGTGAAATATGACAGTAAAAGTCATTCTTTGCATTACGCACAATCAAATTGGAAATTGAAAGACAAAAAAGCTATTAGAAAACAAGATGTTCTGATGAGAACAATATTGCTGAGAAAAAAAAACTGACACTTTTTGTTTTCTTCAATTTAATGTTATTATCATCTGTTCCTCTCATTCTTTATCATACTCATAGGACTGATCTTAATCATCAATGCGTAGACTTGATTATTAAAAATGTACGTGTATTAATTGAAATATTTCTAAAATTAAAAACGATGTTCATTAAATATCCATTAACATGATGATCTTAATCATATATGATGTTAAATTCCTAAGGGTTTAGTGCAAATTTAATGCTCGACTTCTTGTTTTTTACGGATATGTATGTTTTTTTTTTGTGCAAGCCTCTTATAAAGTAAAATATGTTCGATAACTGATTCATTACATTTCTCATTAGTATAACGAATCTAAAAAGTTCAACAAAACAAAATCATTAAATGCGAACATATTTCCAATTCCGCACTATAATTACGTTACTTTTTGTAATGAACAAAAACAAAAACGTACGAAGAAAATACTTATGAGATTATTATTGAATGTAAATTATTTCTATTATAAATAAAATCTTTTTTCCCGGTTTTTATTTTTATAAAATGAAAAGTCTCTTATCATCATCATTATGCATTTAACGACTAAGCTGTTGAATCATGCATATCTATCGATGAGCTTTTTAAACATGCATTGATTTATTATTTTTTTTTTCTTTTTTGATTAATATAAGCAAATAATTATTATTGTATGTAAATAAAATAAAATAATAATTTATCATTTAATGAAATATATATTATTTAATATATTGCATGTTTAACTTTACCGATCTTGTCATAATATTAAAATGCTAATGTCTTTTCTTTTGTTTGATACAAATTGTTTAAATTTTTATATGAATGCATTTCAAGTTTATTTTTAGTAGGATTTAGATTTTAATTGTATTTGACTAATAAGTTCCTTTTTGTTTTCGAATTCTTATCAGACAATTTATTTCTTTAGAATTTTTCTATATAGAGATACAAATTTTCAATTCTTTCTATTTCATACTATCACTTAGTTTATAAGAGACATATATAACAAAATAACATCATTTGTTTGATGACATGTATAAAAATAAAAGAAAAATGAGAAAACATAATTAAATATTCGAATTTCTAGAGAATTTGATGTTCTGTTAGAATAAACAATTAATTCATATTTGATTACTAGTGTAATCTTTCAACCTGCATTTACATTGTCTGACAGATACGTATATATTTATTTTTTTGTGTGTATAGAATGACAGTAACTTAATTTTAAGTCTATCTAACATAGAACTAACAGCATGCATGTCATATAAAACGAAGCAAAGAAAATTTCCGTACGAGATGCATAAGAGAATTTATCTCTTGTCAACTTTATTTTACATAGAGAATATAAAGACTTTCGCATAAACAAAAGTCATTAGATTGACTTTGTAGAATAGGCTTTTTTGATAATGACTTATTCTATAACTTTTCATTAAATCATTTGATTTGATTTAAAATTTTACATAAGATATAAAAAGTAACATTCAACAAATATCTTAAATCTTGTTCTGTTTAAGTGCGATTCAAATCATACTTACAACACATAGAGGAATATTTTTCTATAAAATAGCTCCAGTCGAATACACTCGGAAATATTCTTTTCAAGTATAATTTAACTCAATATAATTCAAAGAGTAAAACAATGTATTATGGAATTTTTGAGACTAATGACGTTCTTTATACTTAAGTAGACAAGATTTTTTGAAAATATGTGTATACAGACGAAAACACAATTTTTTCAACGTTAAAACGGATATAAAAAGCATCTAATTGTCGTCAAAACGCTAAAACAATCTCTATTTTAAGCGTCTACATGCACACAAGTACTATTTCTATTGTTCTTGATCGTGTACATGTATAGAAAATCTACTTTATGAGTGTTTTTACACATCAATTAATTGCACAGATGTGTAAACACTCAAAAATCCCAACTCTGATAAGTGTTCCGACAAACATCTTATCATTATGATTGAAGAACTTATTAATAATCATACTAACACTCTTACAAAAAAAAACTCATTTGTACTTTTTTCTCTCACATTTTTTACTAAAAACACCTAGCGCTTTAGGAATCGAGAATAGGAAATTACGAGTATGTCAAGAAATGAAAGAATACCGTCAGATAAAATCGTAAATCTGCCATCCCCCTAAGTTACTATTTCAATACGTTAGAAAGATAGAGCATGATATGCCGAATATTTCTGTGTATTTATTTATTTATTTTTTTCACTGAATGCAAAAAAAACTTTTTAAGGACTCAATCGTCTTAGGGTGTATACTATTTTTGGATAATAATTATGAAAAAAATAATTTTTCCTTTTGAAAACTTAATATAAACCTGTCTCACTCTTTACAAACTAATCAATAAACACAATTAAGAGCATGAAAAACCACGTCAATCCACAGAACGAGTATTACTTGACGCCAAAGTTGCGGTCGTATATCGTCATATCGTATACGACCACCGTAAACGATCGTACGCGGTAGTATACAACATTGTTTTCTCATATTATTCCACATACGCATGTCCTATTTCCTTTATCCTCACTCTTCAAGTCATATAAAGACTAATATTTGTGGTGTTCAATCTAGTTTTGGACATCCCACCTTATCTAAGTTAATACTTACTATTTGATTTATCCTTATAATAAATCTAAAAACAAAAAAAAAATTATTTCAACAAATTCTAACTTACTGTTCAATTTATTGTTGTAAATAATCTAAAAATAACAAAAAAAAAAATAAAATTTATTTAAATAAATTAATACTTATTGTTCGTTTTGCTGTTGATATAAATTTAAATAAAAGATTGTTTAATTTTACAATCACATTTACTATTCATTATGCGTTTGTAACAGATGTAATTATTTTAAAAATTCTTTTATACAAAGAAAGTGACCTAACGTTGAACATGA